AAAAGAGACAGACACAAAGGTAGAGAAAAGGTGAGATAAGTACTGTGAAAGTAGTCGATTATGACATGCAGTGAGGTGATGGTAGCTTGAAGAGAGAAGTCTGCTGCCAGTTAATAGACTTTTTTGCCGTGTGAGTTTACGTTGCCCAGGGTGCACCACGAGGAGGTAAGTTTATCGCACATCGCTTCCACAATATAATAGTTGGAAAACGTTAAATATCTTTATGCGTAAATGCTTACGCCTTTGAAATGCTCTCTGATTATAAATGAATTATTTAATTTCATCTATGTGGTCAGGATCCACGTAAAGTCATTAAGGTCAAATGAGTTTATACCTTAAGTATTTTAAGAAAATTAATAATATTGATTAAGTTAAGGAATATGCGTTGTATAATTGTTTCATATTAGTGAAGCAGAATCCCCTGGGGCTTAAGAATTAGGTCATTTCATTTCTTCTAAAAGAATTGCAATTATTTTCTAAGAAAACTTTTAACACTTGATTATAGGAACTTTGATGCATACCAAAGATGATGCAATGGAAAGTCATCATAAAATGTGCATAACAATATTAATCAAAATGTAAAAACTAGATCATTTAAAGAAAATTTATTAAATTACAATGAAAATAATTTTTTCCTAACAAAGTTTTTTTGTTTTTATACTGAAAATAAAGTTTTTTGTTTTAAAGTGATGTTACTTGTCAAAATCGTGTTAGTGTTGTAGACGATGGTATGCTACATGCTTCTTTTTTTCTAGCTAGTTCCCCAGTAATTAACTTCGATTTAATTTTAGAGCCATAGAAAATTTTCAGCTCCTCGTCACGGCTCTTTGGGATTTACTCCCAAGAAACGCAGTCGTCGGATTCGCGGTAAATGCAAGGCCTTTCCTAAAGATAGACGATCCAAACCCCCTCATTTAACTGCCTTCATGGGCTTCAAGGCCGGTATGACTCACGTTCTCCGTGATGTCGACCGTCCCGGTTCAAAGGTGCATAAGAAGGAGGTTGTTGAGCCTGTTACCGTCCTCGAATGTCCACCAATGGTTATTGTCGGTATTGTTGGATATATCCATACCGCTCACGGTCTCCGCACCTTCAAGACGGTTTGGGCTGAGCATTTAAGTGAGGAGTGCCGTCGCCGCTTCTACAAAGACTTCTGCAAGTCGAAGCGAAAGGCCTTCACTAAGGCTTCCAAGAAGTGGGCTGATGAAGCTGGTCTGGCATCAATTAATGCCGACTTGAAAAAGATGAAGAAATATTGCGCAGTCATCCGTGTCATCGCTCATACTCAAGTATGCTTTAAATTTTAATGACTTAATTCGTTTGCTAGATGCGTTTAATGAAGCACCGTCAAAAGAAGGCGCATATCATGGAGATTCAGGTGAACGGGGGTACAGTTGCCCAGAAGGTTGATTGGGCTCGTGAGCACCTTGAGAAGCAAGTTCCAGTTGCAAATGTGTTTGCTCAGGACGAGATGATCGATGTGATTGGTGTGACCAAGGGTAAGGGATTCAAGGGTGTTACCTCTCGTTGGCACACGAAGAAGCTGCCTCGCAAGACTCACAAGGGTCTGCGAAAGGTTGCATGTATCGGTGCTTGGCATCCAGCCCGTGTTGGTCGCAGTGTAGCCCGTGCTGGTCAAAAGGGTTACTTCCACCGCACCGAGATGAATAAGAAGATCTATCGCATCGGTCTCGGTAAGCTCACTCATTAGCGAGATGAACTAATTAATGGTGTTTGTATGTGTAGGTGTCCAGGCTCAGATTGAGGCTGCAAAGATGGAAGCCGCCAAGGAGGAGAACAAGGAGCTTGCTGCCTTGATCAAACCGAAGGGCAACGCCTCAACTGAGTACGATCTGACTGCCAAAAACATTACCCCAATGGGTGGATTTCCGCACTATGGAGAGGTGAAGAATGATTACATCATGATTAAGGGCTGTTGCATGGGTCCTCGCAAGCGTGTTATCACTCTGCGCAAGAGTCTGCTCGAACAGACTAGCCGTAGAGCCCAAGAGAAGGTTGTCCTTAAATTCATCGATACTTCCTCCAAGTTCGGTCATGGGCGCTTCCAGACTCGTGCTGAGAAGAAGGCTTTCTTGGGTCCACTTAAGAAAGATTTGGAACGTCCAAAAGTTTCGGCATGATTTGTGAATATTACGTAATATAACTAGTATTTTGTCCAATTTTCCCTTTGTTTTCAACATTGTATATTCGAATAATTATGTGATAATTTTAGAGGCAATAAGTAAGTGTATCTATCTTGGTTTTTGTAAATACAAGCTCTATTAGTTATTGGTCGAGTGCTTTTGAAGTGAGCATTGTCGTGATTGTTTTTGTCATTTGTTTAATAGCTCTAGAGCCCTTTTTTGTTTTCATACACGTAATCTTGTTCTCCAAAATGATAATAGCCAGAAATTTTGAATTTAATTGTTATGCCTTAATCTTCATCATGTGATGTGTTTCATTCCTCTTATGAAACTCTGGAAATACTATCTGATAGATATCAAGTGTTGTATTTTCCTTTGTATCTTTCACAACGGTTGGCGGTCATATCTGAAGGAAGTTATTGGGTTTTAAGAGGGTTTGTAGAAATGGTGTTTATCTCTCAGCATATTTTTATAGAGCGAAAGAAACTACTCGGACAAGAAGTGTTTTGCCGCCTGCCTTGTTTTCGATCAACAGCCAATATGTGTACTTTCGTTGAAATTTTTCTCATGACATTTTACTTTGCCCCCACACGTTGACTTATGTGACACCGGCGCGCTTTCCGGGGAATGAGTTCTACTACATTCCTAGTTGTCTTTTTCATGAATCTGAAGTTTCTTAAAGAAACGGAACGAGGCTGCCATTAGAGATGCAGGTTTCCCTTCTTGCTTCAAGCAACTCGTCCGGAATATCATTTTTGGAACCCGGCTTATTTGATTTTCTAAGCATCATCAACAGTCTCCCTTCACACTATTGTTTCCTAACTTAAACTTACGAATTTAAGTCGACTTGGAAGTAGCTAAACAATTTTTTTGAATAAAAGAGCCACTATTCATAGAAAATAATCAGTTTATTTCAAATATATAGTGAAGAGTGGATGGTCAACATCAATTTGTGTCTCGTTTATACAGGCGAATACATTCCAAGTTTGGTATCAAAAAATAGTTTGGCGAATCGATTTTCCGCATTGACCAACCTTAAAGGAAAGTAGATATTCGTTAGCGAGTACAATTTCGTACGTAATTTAAAAAAAGAATCTTATTTTAGACTTACAGTCGTTCTTTCCAGTTGATGGCCTCATTGATGAGTAGTAGTATGGGACACCAAAGCAGACCACAGGCAAGTGTTATCAGTAGGCGATGGTGCTGTTCAGCAGTGAGGAGTTTCCCATTGTAGATTAATGTAGTTACGAGATAAATTGAGTGCACAAGGAGTCTAAATGAACGAACATGAGGCTTAATATGTGGTTTACTCCATAATAACTACATTCTGGATATATTATTAGGCTCAATTCCATGGGGGGGGGGAGTATTTTTCAGCACTCATTCTGAGCAGATGAGCAACAATAACAGGAGTCTCTCCGATTAGCGACCCACATTTGCCAATCCGATTTGTCTAAAAAGGTCAAAGCTGAAATGCCTATGCTTTATCTCTGCATAAACTATTTCCACAGATGATCCCTAGTTTCGCCCACAGCCCAGATAATTTTGCAGTCATCAGTAAAAGAATCTGTCATCTAACAAGCATCAACGAAATGGAAGGAATTATATTCATATGCAGGGGTACGTGATAGACTTACCTCCACCTAGTGCACCCTGGGCAAAAAGTCTACTAACCGACAGCTGACTTCTGGCTTCAAACTACTATGACCCGACTATTTGTCATATTCGACTCCTTTCACAGTACTCACCTCACCTCACCTTTTCTCTACCTTGTATCTGTCTGTCTCTTTTAAATCTGCGAATCACTCTTCTCTTCTCACCCCCTCCTTTTCACTTTTTGTGCCTATGATGTGCCCCCCCCCCCCTCTGTGAAACCCGAAGCCAACCAAAGGGCTAATGAGAGCCTGCCATTTAATATAAATATTCATATGCATATAGCCTGTGCTGAAGTTACATAAGCCTTGGGATAATTGCACTTCCATCTTCCCTCCTCCTTTGAATGGGGACATATATCAAAGCCCAAGAACTAACACTGCCGAAATAGTCCTACTTTGCCCATAGTTGGCACAGTATGACCGCTACGCCAACGGCGCATATCTAACAGTAGGAGTCAGGCACATATATATATATATATCCCTATATTTGGGCTAAACTCACACAAACGAGGCAGAAATCAGCCAGGGGAGATTTGTTTTCAGTCTCCATTGGTAAATCCATTGACCTCGATTCGCGTAGCTGAATGATATGAAAACTAGAATAGAAGAGAATAGAAAATGTGAAAAAATGTGGTGCTCTCTCCTTCACTAGTATGGTGAGTGGTAATTAAATCGTACCTAAGTAAATGACAAGAAGGAAGAAGGGGATTTCCTGGGATAGAATTGCATCTTGAAGCACACCAACATGATCAAGTGGTTCGGATGAAGAGGAACTAGAGTGCAACAGAAGTAGGAGGTTAAATTCAAAGATTTTCCTTTGAAAATTCGTATGGGCGGTAGGTAGATGAGGTAGAGGGGGCAAAAGGCAAACCCAATTGAACTAATCGTGTTTACTTCAAACTTAATTGACGGCTACCCGATTAATTCTAAACTAATTTAGGGGTATCATGGACCAATCTCCAGCGGACTAATTAATGTTAGATACAAAGGAACAAATGCATTAGCATCCTCTACTCTGCACTGGTGTACTCTTGACATTTTTCCTTTATCGATAATGCCAAATTTATTCCAAGCTGATCTAAATATTATTAATGAGAAAGGAAGCAAAATGCAGGACTCAATGGGACTCGGATGGTAGAATGGGGGAAGTTTTTTAAATCTTCAACTCTTGACAAAGTCCACTGCAATGGAGAGATGAGAAGGCCAGCATAGACACGACCTTGTCCACTCATGCAACCAGGCATAGAATCGTATTGGGCTAAGATCAGTTAATTGCGCTTACAGTCAATAAACATGGTGGCATAAGCAACAAAGCGAATGCAGAGTTGCACTACAATGAGGAGTTTAAAGCATTTACCCTATGCATCTAGTTCATGGGTAGAAGAATTTGCGAACAATAAATCGATTAACAACTATGCACTCATTTAAGTGAGCATAGAGACAGCATCATAGACCTCCTATTCAACCACCACTTTTATCACTCAAGCTTAGCTAGTACCTTCTGTCATCAAACCCACAACCTCTGACCTAGTAGGTAACCCACTAAGTCATCAGCACAAAAAAGTGTTAAACTCTTCCTGAATTAACTCACCTGTCACTACCACTTTTATTGTTTGTTAGACAGGCTAGTCGATAATCGATTCCCGTGGGACAGACGATGATTGTTTGAGCCATGCCAACTAGCCAACAAATTACCACCGATGGCAAAAAACGCGCGGCCGTCACCCAAAGTAGCCTCAGCATTCGCTGGAAAAAAAACGGGTTAATTATCACCAGAGTCGCCGATCAAAGTCACTTCCATGAAGAGAAACCTTAGTTGGCTCGATTTCATAGAATTCATTATTTTAAGACTCTTACATCTTTGCAGAATATCTCTTTCCTCTTTACAGGTGGCTGTTGCAGAGGCTTGTTTCTTTCAACCATCCTCCCAAAAATACTAATTGCAAGCAATGGAATAACAGTCCCGGTGAGCCAGAGCACCTGTCCACTAATAGCAATATGCCCCACCAACTCGGTATGTGACGAATTGATTGGTCCATTGGTGGCCAATAATATTGGTGGTAGCCATATCAGTTCAGTGGTTGTTTGAAATCGGACGGGAAAGGCTGGTAGGAGGGCCATTGAGAGGAAGTAAAATAAGGCAGAGGCGAAAGAGGCGGCGATAGCAAAGGTTATGCACAAGTGGATATTGTTCACTGATGCATGAGACTAATAAGAAAACAGTATAAATACAGTCAGATAGTATTTGGAAGGGGGCTAAATTCATATGCCAACCTGAGTGATAAGCTGAAGAATATTCAGTTCGACCAAAGAGGCATGGGAGACTAAATCAGCTCCGAGAGCGATGAGACGTCCAGCGAGACTTAAAAGTGGTTCTGTCGTGTCCACATTTTCTTGGCCTTGGTGATCAGGGTGTCCACAGACAAGCGGAAACAAGGGGAAGAGGGCTATTGCCGTATCCCCGCGACAAAAGAGTTCCGCATTCGCAATTGATAAGCAGCTTCCCACCACGCATACGGTCTCTCCATACTCCTGCATTATGCAAATCATCTCGTCCACAGCTTAAAAAAAGAATGAAAACGTCAGTGCTAGCTTAAGTTAAGAAAACAGTTGCTACTAACTAACATTATAGTAGACTAACCTGATGGAGTGCAGTCGGTGAAGAGGGACACTTTGAGGGGCACATTGTCAACGTTTTCAAGGTGCGTTCGAATATTTTTGATTCCCGAGGGTAACCTCGACTGAAAAAAGCGTGAATATGAGTCGAAACTGATATGGTACAAACAACTTTCGAATGATGAGTCTGCATAATGTATATTTTTAATCAACAGCGCGCAATAGAAAAACATTAAGCTAAAGATCAAACATTGCCAATGAATGAATACAGGCTATGAGATAAAAGCTGACTCAAACAGCCTAGAGACTCCATTAGATTTGTACTTTTGATGGAGGATATTAAGTATCCAGAGCAAGCAAGGCAATTTCAAGGCTTCGTTATGATAAAGCGTTTTACCTCATTTTCTAATATTGTAGAATCCTTCTCACTGTTCAACTCGGAGTAACTTTCAATTTTGCTTCCAACAAGCTGGCTAATAATGGGAGATAGAGTAAGGCGATTCTATTCAATGGGACAATTTGACCCTTCTTTCATCCTTAACCCATGACAATCCATCTATTTCTTCATATTAATATGGTGAAGCACCCATTTAATTTCCGACGGTTTGCCGAATCGGTAAGTTTACTGCAACCTGATTTAAATTTACGACATCGAGTGTGTCCTAGAAAAACTACCTTTGTTTATAAACTCTCAGCTGAAACTATCCGAACCAGATCCATAAAATACAACCGCTTTCTGTACCCGCCAACCAATACATACTTAGTTGCTCTTCAATCTTCTTATCTTGACAAATTGGTGACAATGAAATGGTTAGTAGCCTAATGTTATGGATACGGGGTGCGCAATAGACTTACCTCCACGTGGTGCACCCTGGGCAACGCATACTCATACGGCAAAAAGTCTATTAATCGGCAGTTGACTTCTGACTTCAAACTATCATGACCCCACTGCTTGTCATATTCAACCCCTTCCACAGCATTCACCTTACCTTTTCTCTACCTTGTGTCTGTCTACCTGTCTCTTTTACATATGTGAATCATTATTCTATCTCCCCTCTCGGCTTTTTGTCACTTTGATGTTCCTCCTCCTCTCTGTAAAATCCGAAGTCAACTAAAAGGCTAATAATAACTATCAAAACGTCTACCATTTAAGATAAATAAATGTTGTGGACATCCCCCCATCCAGTAGACAGTAGGAAGGGTTAATCGTGTGATGAAACATTTAATGTCAAAAAATAAAAGCCTTTTTAGCCCATTCCAGGAGTTTTATTGCAAAAGGACGAGCAAATCGTTATGCTCTACCTGGAAATCATACACCCAGCCGTTTGGCAACTGGCAATGGGAGAGGCACCAACACTTAATCTTATTAATTTCTTCTATTATCAAACGAAGTTAAACCGCCCTATGAAACAAGCGAAAAAAGGTATTCAGACAATTCTTTTCCCACCTGAGAGTCTGTAAAACTAATTACAAACTGAGCTTACCGACTCCAAAGACTTCGATCTATGTGGAGTTATCAAACACCATTCAAACTAAAGAGAATTATTTACTTTGGCCTTCACTTAGTGAAAGTAGCATTACACGCAAGAAAAAAGACATTGTATGTCATCGGTACAAAATTAAAGGGGGTATTTTAATCAAATGAACAAACCTTGTTGGCGAAAACATAATTATACGCATCCTCCTCTTCTTGAACATCATCACAAACAACTTTCACACTGGGAGTAGAGGCGCAAGTAGACGGGCTACTACAACTGAAAACTGAGTCACCAGAAATGGTAGATTTCTTCTCACCGTCATTGCTTGATAGAGAGCTGCACGAGGAGACCTCATCAATTGCTTGCGGGGCTTGTTTAATGGGCTCAGGAGCGTCATTGTCCACATTGAATCCGATCCAGATGGCACTATTCCCATTACCTCCACCCTCGTTGCTATCGATCAGTGGCACAGAGGGATCCAGTGCTTTGGGAATTGAAGGCTGCACTACTGTGGAGGACCTCTAGGAGGGTGGGGGGGGGAGGGGGGGGTGAGAAGGACACTATTTATCTCATATTTAATCAATGTGTATAAAAATAGACGACCAAAAACATTACTTACTTTCCGGGGAATTCCGAGACGTGTTACATTGGGAGAGCTTAGGGAATAAGGCTGCTTGAAGACACTGACCCCAACTTTAAAGATATATAAAAAAAAACAAATTTAGCTGCGGAAAACGCTGACGCTGAACACAAAGAAGAAATATCTCCTAGCGCATAAGATAAGCTGGATGAAAAAATCCAACTGGCCAGTGGACTTGGAGCAAATCTAGACACATGAATGGGATGACAGAGACTTCATAATTACTGAATATGCTGAGTTCTCTATCACTAGATCGCTCATTTTTAATTTGGAGTTCTGCTGCTTAAACGACTTTTTCTACTTTTCTTGCATCAGTGCCTTTTCAATAGCAGTTTTATTAAGTTGAAGGTCCTGATGTCGAAAATTGGTCAGAGCACTTATTTTTCATAAATGCGCTTGCCTGCAATACTTTCCACAAGCATTTGCTTTTCATGACTATATTTTTATTGACTTGATGGGTAAATAAAATTAATCTCACTTAACTACTTCGCACCTGATAAAATTGTCACCTTTGACTAATAATAGTAATTGCAGTTCCCAAACTCCGGTAGGAAAGCCTTTACCAATGCTCATATTGGGTAGTGACACCAAGATGTTCCAAGCCCTGGTACCCTCTACACTAGACAGGTCTAACATAAGTGATTGGACATTACATTCACTGGACATGCATCAAAGGCAATGAACCTGTGACCTCTGGCACGCCTACCGCTTTGGGATCATGGACAAAAAAGGGGTGACTTAATTGACCGTAAATCGGTAATTTTAGGTTACGTAGCCGAGGGAGTGCGATAGACTTGCCTCCACGTGGTGCGCCCTGGGCAACGTATACTCATACGGCAAAAAAGTCAATTAATCGGGAGCAACCTCATACGGCAAAAAAGTCAATTAACTGGCAGTTGACTTCCGACTTCAAACTACTATGGCACCATTGTATGTCATATTCAACTACTTCCACAGTACTCATCTTATCTTTTCTCTGCCTTTGTGTCTGTCTGTCCCTTTACTATCGGTGAATCACTCTTCTGTTCCACCTCTCTCTCCACTATTTGTGGCTTTGATGTTCCTCCCTTTCCCTCTGTAAAACCCAAAGTCAGCTAAATGGCTAATAATAACTATCAAAACGCCTGTCATTTGAAATAAATAAATAAATAAATAAATGTTTCGTAGCCCTGATAACGAATGTGCAAAGAAGAGTCAAGACCATTGGTTAACTGGTAAGCTTGAAGTTGACGTAAACTAAATGGATTTACATATATGCACTTCCCGAATTGCTAATAACTTAAACAGTGCCAAATAGACATTGAAATGAGAATATATGAGACTAGAGTTTTGAAAAACGAAAAGTAAAAATTGATAACAAAGATAATTTCAAAGACTTAAGACCAGTAATCATTATAGAAAGAAGTCGAGTTTAGATAAATGCTGCACTCCCAATTGGCAAAATCATCTAAGTTCATGGGCCTCTCTTCACTTCTATGAAACCAAATTTTAAAGGATATCAATCTCTTTGCCAATTTTCAAGCTTTGAAAACTCATATCGAACAAATAACCGATCTATCGTTTACCATGATTGAAGGAGACGCCCGTTTCATGGACCGGACCGTTGCTTGAAGCATTCAAAGTAGCGGCAGGAGTCCTGGAAGCCAGGTGAGCAAAACGGTTGCTTACTCGAGAAATCGACCTACTGGCCTCAGAAGGGGGCTCTGCTAATGAGATATGACAATTCCAGTCCGCTTCTAAACCCAACCGTTCGGCAAACACTCGACTGCGCAGCTGATTGTCCTGAAATTTTCATGGGAGATAAGTAAAATGAGTTAGGCATCGACAAATATGAACGCAATCCACTGAAGTTAATAATATTATCACAATCTGCTAATAATAAAAGGCAGAACTTACTCGAGGACCTTCCGAAGAATGTGAACGCTATACAGCAGCCGACTTTCTTAAAACCAAAACGTCTTCTACTTGTTGGGGTGTGGGATAGACTTACCTCCACGTGGTGCGCCCTGAGCAACGCATACTCATACGGCAAAAAGTCTATTAACCGGCCGTTGACTTCTGAATTCAAACCACCATCACACCTTTTTTCTACCTTTGTGTCTGTCTCTTTTACAACTGTAAATCGCTCTTCTGTTCCCCACCCCTCGACTTCCTGTTTCTTTGATGTTCCTTCCACCTCTCGACTTTTTCTCACTTTGATGTTCCTCCTCCTCTCACTGTTCCCCATCCCTCGACTTTCTGTTACTTGGATGTTCCGTCTACGATTTTTTCTCACTTTAATGTTCCTCCCTTCTGTGAAGCTCGAAGTCAGCTAAAGGGCTAATGATAACTATCAAAACGCCGGCGAAGTCAGCTAAATGGCTAATGATAACTATCAAAACGCCTCCAAGTCAGAAAGGGCTAATGATAACTATCAAAACGCCTGTCATTTGAAGTGAATGAATGAATCTTCTACTAGTTGGGATCGCACCCATATCATCTGGTAAATTCTAATGCTCAAAATATAAGATGTCTGGAACTATTCTTAAGTTGAAAGGAAGGTAAATTTTGACCTAAAGTCGATAACTATCTACGCCCATTCCTAACTATGAAGACGGAAAATGTATTAAATAACTGATAAATATATATAGGCAGAAAGGAAGTAAGAGGTAGGTTTACAACCTTATAGGAACTACGGAAAGTAGTAAATATTGTAGGCAGAGAGGACCAATGGAGAAATCGAGTCCTAGGCCAAATTGTGACACCCGCCCGGAAAGGAGGGTTGTGGTAATCAAGATAAGATGACCGATTCCTCCCCGCCCCCCCCCTTTCATAATATCAAAACCTCTATATCTTGCCTGGGACTTATAAACTTTTTATGGCTGACCTATATGACGTGCCTCAAGAAAAGATTTATTTAGATTACGCTTTCGCACAGATGCATGAAATTGACTGTACATTTAAGGCGAGTAAAGTTAGAAGCGTCTGCTGTCAGAACTAAATCATCGATTAGGGACAAGGTTTGGACTGACATCGGCCATAAAGATTCATGTGCACTAATTAGTTTTCAGCTCAGTCCCAACTTAGGAGTATCAAAATCTTAGACCACAGACCCATCTACAGTAGGCGATAGCTACATTAGACCACATCTTTTGTTACGAGGTTAATTTAAATTCCAATTTTTCACTCATTATGTTATGAAATAATAACAACACGGAATAGATTTTCAATTCATGACATTATCAATAAAATACACCATAATAGTTAATCAAAAATGACATTAAATATGTGGCTTTATGCTCGATGTTGAACGTTTAATTGGACTCAGCAAATTAGGTCCCTTAATAATTCAATAAGGGGGGTGAGCGATAGACTTACCTCCACGTGGTGCAACCAGGGCAACGTAAAATCATACGGCAAAAAAGTCTATTAACCGGCAGTTGACTTTTGACTTCAAACTACCGTGACCCCACTCTATGTCATATTCCCCCACTTCCACAGCGTTCACCTCACCATTTTCCCCACCTTTGGGTCTGTCTGCCTCTTTTGCATCTTTGAAACACTCATCCATCCCCCCCCCCCTCGATTTTTTTCTCTTTAATGTACCTTCCCCTCTGTGAGGTCTGAAGTTAACTAAAGGGCTAATGATAACTATCAAAACGCCTGGCATTTAATATAAATAAATAAAAAAAATTCAATATGGGCAGGAGTCCCAGGTAGACATCAAAATACACCCGCTAAATATGCACCCCTATTATAAAATTAAGTGATTAAAAAGATAAAGCCTCTGTGGAAAAAATAAATACCGGAGAGTGTCTTAAAGGTGTGGGATGAAATGGGCTTACTGTGAGAGGATGAACACGCTTAGAGCAAATACCGAATCGACTGCTGTACGAAATATTGAATAGAGAAAATAGCTTCCAATTGAGAGACATACATACCTGAGAGAAGTGCACAAAGCGAATGCACGCCTGATTGAGCTTGCGAACAATCTCCACGACACCCGGCATTGCTTGGTATTGCAAGCTCACCATTCCCAAAAAAGTCTGTTTACTGAAGGCTTCTTGTAAAGCAGCAGAATCAACGGAAAACTCTGTAGTCGAATTTGATGAACTAAAATGAGGAGCAGAAAATTCGGCCTTTCAATGATTGAATAACGTGGGTCCCTGTACACTCACCTCATACATTGGTAGACCCTTCCCCCCC